TTATTGTGATCACGATGGTTTGACGACTTCACCTTGGCCCGTCGCGTCATTCTGCGTTTCGCGTCGTTTAACGCGTACACCTAACTTTTTAAAGGGGAAAATCCCCAGACAATCGTTGTGGTTCAAATCGTGTCATTATTATTATTATTATTATTATTATATAAATGTATAAAATTGACCTCAAGTATTATATTCATGATTATAGCAATACCATTCCGTAAGATAGGGTAGGTAAATATGTATATATCTCCTTAAGTGATATAAATCCGACTATAAGTTCTTAGGTGTTACCAATGGGTGACTTCCTTAAAAGTTGTTGTTTTTTTTTTTAAATAAACTATGTATATATTCTATATCAAAATTACTAAATGTGCTTGTTGTACAGATTGTTTTTGAATAAAAAAAAAAAAATATGTATATAATAAATAATATATGTAAAAAATGCACATAATAAAAAATATCATAAAATTATACATACTTATATCATGTAGGCAAATGCCAATAGCCATGTAGGTATTGTATTGTGTAATTTGAAAAAAATGTATGAAATAAAATAGTGAATATAATATTTAGAGTAATTGTAAGTGACATACAATGTAATTTATCAAAAATAGTATGAAATAATGTTAAATATTATATAACAACAAAAATCTAAATTATTAGTATAATTTTACACTTATTTTGACAAATTTCATATTAATATGCAACTTAAAATCATAAGAATTACATCAATTGTTTTATTATATCTTTTTTTGTTTTTGTCTAACTATTTACAAAATTTGCKTTTTTTATTTTATGGGTTGCTATTGTAATCGTGTATTTAGTATGTGAGGACAATCGGTACAATTAGTTGAGGACAACTGGGACTCACCACACACCAGTAGGTCTGAAAAGGAAATTTGGATAGAGGAAAAATGAATCTTGATTTGRACATCTATTAACTAGATTCTAGTGTGTAATTTGAGATAATTTACGACATGTTATCAAGTAACTATCGTTAATATAGACATAAATTTAAAAAACATATAAAATTAAGTTAATATTTATTGGTATAAATTTAAAATTTCACCTTCATTTATCTTAAAATCACTTATCCTATAATATAATACTGATCAATAGAAAATCGAAAAAATCATCATTCGTCACCATTCATCATTCATCACATATAAATTTAACCATTTTCTGAAATATGTTCTAGCATCTCGGAAAGCAGTGGACCGTTATTGCTCGGGCGGCGAGTCTCTACACGGATCCTTTCATATTCATGAGTGGATTATTGACTGCGATATCGTTCTTGAGACATTTAGATCGAAGAGGCAAGATCGATTTACCAAAAGAATTCATTTCTAGATTTGCCAGGTACGTACTCCATAACCGATATAATAAGTACGTAACAAKTAACAACTATGTCTAATTTGATTTAGAAGGTATTTAGTTCACTGGTACCTACAATTATTAATTTTTATCAACAATAATATTATGTCAATTTCGTGTAGGATGGACTAAGTGCAAACATAGTATTTGTGACATAGTGTCTCTCATAATCCTTGTTTGAGGACCTCTATAAAATATGAATTTGGGAAAATCTTTTCTTGGTACATCATAAAACGAAACCACTGACTACATTTCATAGCTTAGACAGTTTCAACTTGATGATGATGAACCAGTCTGGTCAAGTTTATATATATATATATATATGACAAATGACAATGCATGTTGGTAAATACTTTAGGCTTATATAAATTATACTTTATTCGTAACGAGAACGTACTTCGACGGTCGACTTGCGCATGGGCGTGGCTTCGTTCCGTAGCGAAGAATTAATTTTTGGACTAGGTGGGGGAAGCGTCTGATCGTCGTGGATGAAAACTGGTCGCCTCCGAGGTACCAACGATCTCATTCCGAATAGAGTATATTAAGTATTTAAATAATACAAGTATAYACAATTCATAACTCGTAAGAGGTCTAAGTCTAATAATAATATTTTCACTAATCTATCCAGTGAAGAGATACGTGCACCATGTTTTAACATCATGTTTCAAATTGGTGAATAAAATATACAAC